TGGCCATATAGTGTAAATGGGTAATCTTACATTTGATCAAATAATATAAGATTTATTGCCATATAATGTAATTGAATACGCTGATCTATGGCCATATTACTTAACTGGGTGCTCTGGTTTATGATCATATAATAAAACCAAGTACTCTGGTACAACAGAGTATTATGGGCTATAATATACTCTGGTATTTGGGCTTTTATTACAACTGATCCCCCATATTTTCATTTGAAATGGATTCTTGCAGCTTTGTTCACGACTTGTGTTATGTGGATTTAGATTGTTTTTGTTGTCTATTCTATTGAGAAAAATATGTAGACCTATAATTGCAATAGGAGACAAAGTTGTTTGTTTTTTTTAATTAAGAAAGAAGTATCAATTAGTATGATGTATACCATCAGTAGAAGTTTTTCATACATTCACACGATTCCTATGATACAATGTACGTGTACAATAGTACAAATTGTCGCTGTGCTGTTATATGTGAAACATGCAGAGTTTTCTGGTACATTGGACAATCATAAATAATGTTGCTGATGTATAAAGAGACCTAATTCTGGAAATGTGTACCCAAGGTGAAGAGCAGATGGTAACAAAAGGAAATCCTCCGGAGCCAGGATTAAAAAGCAATTTTGAGCTTCTTTAAAAATGCTGGCTGCATCATTTGGGTCAGTTAGATTAACGCCTTCATTGCCGGCAAGCCAGAAACAAAGTATTATTGTGGACTATGCCGAACGCCTTACTCTCCTGTGGCTAAAAAAAAAAAAAAAAAAAAAATCTGCATTAATATTGAAGTAGTTCTCTAAACATAGCATCACAAATTATAAATGTATCAATGTCTGAATGAGACACTGGCCATTCTGTCCATTTATTCACAAATATGCAAGACAAATAATAAATTGTAAGCCCTGATATACAGATATAAATCCCATAGTGTAATATATTCTGCTATAATAATGTTAAAGGAAAGATAGAGAAGCTGCTATCTTGCATGAATATACTGTGATTATATCTATACGATTGATGCAACATGTAATAAATATAGGACGTGGGGGGCGTGACCTGGCAGGCCAACCGAGTAGGTCGCACATGGCTGAGGCTCCTCAGATTAAGCTTGTAATACCATACAGAAAAATATTAAATATAACACGTGCTCCCCAGTGGGCAAACAAATTTAAAATTAATTTACCCTAAGCGAGATTGTAATAAGATCCCTTGAGTCTTCAAATCAAATGCATACAGAATACAATCTACAAAAAAGGTGGATAAAACCAAAAGATGGCGTAGAATGTTTAAAACACCATAAAGTGCGCTAGTATGAAATGCACTCATGAAGTAGAATTAGATTGCAGACATATAGAGGTCTTTGGGATTCAATGAAGATCGAATGTTCTTCTTTTAAAACCTTAATATAGAGGGAGAGACACACAGGACATAGTGCACCAATTTAGAGGATGACAGAAGATTTATTTAAATTGCATTCACAGGATATGAAGTAAAATCAGGCATATCAGAAAACTCAGATAAGTCCAACTCCAGTGGCACTTTCCTGGTTTTGAAGATGCAACAGGAACAAAATAAAATCCAAATAAATAGTACAAAAAACAAACAAGAAATAAACATAAATAAAATCTCTACGCCTGACGCGTTTTGTCCTGGATTAGGACTTCCTCAGAGGAAATCCTCCTTCGTCTGCGCCTGTTTCTTTTTTGTAGATTGTATTCTGTAAGCTTGTAATACGGCTGATTTGCCAACAAGTTACCCCTTTAGCTAAAAGAATAACTGCTGAGTACCTGGCCCAGGTGTTGAGAGTTTTTGCCAATGCTGACCAAACTGGACTGTTTAGGGGCCTACGAGGCAGATTAAAAGTGGATCCTCCGTCAAAATTTGGTTTCAGTCTCATTTGCCCCACCCCCCTCCCACCCTTTTATTAGCGGGTGTTATCCCAGTCCCTATTGGTGTACTCCATGGTCCTCTCACAAGGACTTTTCTGATCACACGCTTGCTAGACGACTGAGGCCTACTAAACAAGAAGGCCGACATTGTGTGGCATGCTCAGACAAAGGAATACCTAATGCCCCCTACACATGTGGATCTGCCTATGCTGGAGTTCAGTTACCTGTGTGCCAAGTTCTGGGATAAGATAAACACTAGAGCTGTAAATCTCTTATCTGAGGGTCTAAGCATGACAGATCGTTGCACAGTGCCTGGCGGCCAGAGTCCGGCAGAGTTCCCACGACCACTCTCTGGCACCACACGAGCAGAGAAACGGGAAGATGCAGGAGGAAGCCAACACACCGTCGCCATCAACCGACTGGCAGGTACCGCCATTGCGCCTACACTCGGGGCTCCAAAGGGAGTGATGCCTACTTAGAAGGACCCCGCTTAGCAGGGCCAAATGCGTGCAACAAGCCCGGAAACCCGGTTCCTGATGGCAAAGACCAGGGAGGCACAACACCAACGCTGGGAGCCGGTGGAGATCCCGTTCACTATTTGAGAAACTCCTGCTTCTGGAGAGGACAGGCCTCCCATTCACAGGCATTGGCTGAGATGGTTTGGGATAGCACAGCAGATCCCCCATAGCCATGTATATTACTTCAGTTTAATTGTCTGTTGTAAAATTTGATTATGTTCTAGGCTATGCATATCTAGGGTTGTCTCTTAATAACACACACTTATCTAACGTGGAGGCTCAGTCATAGTTAACTTTAATTACCCAGTGGTATCTCTCTTCCATGTTAATGTCCACAGTTCTATGATATAGCGTATATAATCCTCCCTATTACCACCCACATAGAATTGTGTTCATGATGTCTTTAATTATTTTCTTTAACAAATGCAGTGTTCCTTATGGCGTGTTATGCTACAAACTTCACCACACATGTTTATTCTCAACTGTTCTTTCGTGTTATATTTTTAAAATGTGCAGTTCCTTCACTTGCCATGATATTGTTTCAAAATGTATGACGGAATAAGGCTAAAAAAAAAGAAATATAGGACGTGTAAGTGTAACAGTCCTGGCAATAGGCTGGAGTTGACTTCATGCTGGAGTTGACCCTTCTATTTTAATGCATTATATACACTTATCAGCCACAACATTAAAACCACCTGTCTAATATTGTACTGCCAAAAAAATTCGGACACGTTTAGGCATGGACTCCAAAAGATCTCTGAATGTGTCCTGTGGCACCAAGACATTAGCAGCAGATCCTTTGAGTCCTGCAAGTTTTGAGGTTGGTGGAGCCTCCATGGATCGAGTTTGTTGATCCTGCACGGCCCACAGATGCTCTGTATGATTGAGATCTGGAGAATTTGGAGGTCAAAGCAACATCTTGCACTCTTTGTCATGTTCCTCAAACCATTTCTGAACATTTGTTTGTAGGGTGCGTTAGAGTACTAAAAGAGGCCACTGCCATCAGGAAACACCATTGCCATGAAGGGGTGTATGTGGTTTGCAACTATCTCTAGGCAGGTAATACGTGTCAAATTAACATCTACATAAATACCAGGACCCAAGGTGCCTTGGGCGCCCATCACCATGACTACAGAGGCACATCATCTTTATCACTAGGGCATTTAGTTTTAGAGTTGAAAATAGTTATCAATTCATCCCAGTGGCGGATCCAGAGCCTGATCTCGGGAGGGGCACTTGTAGATTATTTAAAGAAATAATCCAGGCACAATAATCGCTACAGCTCAGTGTAGTAGTTATGGTGCCAATAGTGCCAGGATCCTATCCCAGAGTAAGTATTCAACACGTTTAAAAACAGTTTGACAACTTACCTTGGGTCTGCTGGGATATAGGGCATATGAGTAGTGGTATGTGTGAGGGGTGAAGTGTGTGTGAAAGGTGCAGTGTGTGTGTATGTGTGTGAGCGGTGAAGTGCGTGAGGGCGGCAGTGTATGTCAGGGTTGCAGTGAGTGTGTGTTAGGGGGCAGTGTGTGTGAGAGTTTCAGTGTGTGAGGCTTGCAGTGTATGTGTGTTTGGGGCAGTGTGTGTATGGGGGGCACTGTATGTGTGTGTGGGGCAGTGTGTGTATGGGGGCACTGTATGTGTGTTTGGGGCAATGTGTGTATGGGGGGCACTGTATGTATATGTGGGGCACTGTATGTATGGGGGGTTGTGTGTGTGGGGCAATGTGTGTATGGGGGGCAGCAGTGTGTGGGGCAATGTGTGTAGTGTATGTGTGTGGGGGGCAATGCGTCTATGGGTGTGAGGCAGTGTGTATGGGTGGCAGTGTTTGTGGGGCAGTGTATGTATGGGGGCACTGTTTGTATGGGGGGGGTGAAGGAGGGTAAGAAGGCTTTATAATAATTTTTTATTTAATAAAAATTAATACATTTATGTCCCCACTCCCTTCTTACCTTTATTGAGGAGGAGAAGGGGGGACATATCTCGATCCCTGGTGGTCCAGTGGGAATCCCTGGTGGTCCAGTGGGATTTCCTGGGGGTCCAGCTGCAGGACTAGAGTTCACTCTCGCGAGATCTGGAGCATTGCCGTGATAACCGCGGCAACGCTCTGTACTCGCAAGAGAAAGACCCGGAGGAGCAGCAGACTAGAGCTTCCGGGTCCTCTCTCTCACTCTCTGCTGGCTGCCGCACAGTGCCTGCGGACCGGGGATCTCCCTCCCCTGTCCGCAGGAACATTGCAGGGCTGGCACTTGGACAATGCCAGCCCTGCATTAGCCGGAAGGGGAGAATCTAGGAATCGTTGCCCCCCCCCGGATCCGCCACTGATTCATCCTCTACTACTATGTGAAAGGAAGTTATGGTCGCAATGAAATGTCTTTAATTACTTGTAATAGAAACTAGGATCCATGCTAATATTATTATTATTATTATTATTATTATTATAATTGTCGCTGACTATGGTAACATATATTGTAAAAAAAAAAAGAATGCTGACAAAAGGATTGCAACTCTCAGGAAGTTAAATGGTTACTCCATCCCTTTTTAGAACTATATATATTTTTAAAATGCATTACGCTAGACGGAATTACTTCTAGCCCCCCCTTTAGACCTGGAAAACGGTTTTAAAATTGCCTGACATCCAGTTCTAATCAAAGCTGTCCAACGTCATCCCTGCACTCACGTGGTCTAATCACATGCTTAGTAGAGGAGCCTTTGATTGGACTGTTAATGCGCTCTGAGCCAGCGAGGGGAGGGTAATTTTAAATTGAGAAAAATAAAACACCAACCCTAAATATTTAATAGAGGGAGGTGGGAGGTACCGCACAGAGGGAGGGAAGGAAGGTCAGAATAGCAAGTTTCCGCCTGAAAGGGAGAAGATTATTACGTCTGTTGCCAGCATGCAGATTTACAGATGTAAAATATGCACAGAATTAACATTTGGCAATCCGAAACAGAGTTCTGGGCTGTCAAAGTCACGAGTTCCGGGGGTATTACTAGCCCCCTGACAAACACAAGTACAAATATCTCTGAATGTTCAGTGTTACAAGCAGAAACATCGCACATCCAGACTCCTACCAACATAATCATTTTAAATCACTGAAGTGGTCATGAAGGTTGGAGTAACCTTTTAAGTAATGACAATTGTGTAAAGCAGTGTTTTTGAAGCAGAAAGAGAAAAACCCCATTAGGGACAGAGAGTTAGAAAGTGTTGGTTTATTATGCAACAGTCATTTAAAAAAAAAAAAGAAAGAAAGAAAATTAGCAGAAAAAAAATACCCGCCCAACGTAACTAACAGTAGTCTACCCTACATATCACAGCTAAAATGTATCGGTGGCTGGACTCTGGAGTTTAAGGGACTTTTGGTGAAAATATCCTAAAACAAATATTTCTCTGCATAAAATGTTATGAGGAATGTTATAAATTCGACAGGTGATTTCCGTATACAGTGGAGATATTCGGGTGCAATCATCCTTTGATAAGGATCATATAAGTGTTTCTGTATCCTTCTTTATGCGTAACGTTCATCGGATTTCTGATATCTGGGCTGTCCTTCTTCTCAATTTGCCTTGTTTTGCAGGCAGGATCTATCTACAAAACCGCTCCAAATGCCCGTGACCCACATCACGGGATATGCTATGTGCCCCTTATAACAGTTCCATATCTCACTCCTTCAATTAAAATGTTTTATCTAGTGTTTTCGTCTCTGTGCTTCAACAAAATAAAATCTGGAAAGTGACTTCTCCACTTTAAATTGTTGGTATGTAGTGTCACCCACATTCTGACTACGGTGCCCTGGAAGAACTTTCTGCCTTTAGAGCTACTTTTAAACAGAAAGTCCAACACTGTTAAGAACAAAATATTAAGCATGTCTGCTGTCATGGATTGTTATACACAATTTCTAAGAAAAATGTATTAGCACAAATTTTCTGTTAGTATCCAGCAATCTCTAATTGTCTACATACCTTTCAGCTTGAACGACTATCAAATAAATCCTTTTTACAATCATTTTATATAGGAACATAATAGCATTGTTTGTGCCAGTCACTCAATTTGCTCATACTAATTTAAATGTCATAATGAATTAGTGTTGGAGGTGAGTGAAGTAACAACAATTCTTCTCACAACATATTTAGCAAAATTACGAAATGTTCACAGATCACATAATTGTTTTAGAAGTGCTAGTCACTAAGAGGATTATCTAAATCATACAATGATGATTGCATTAATTACTAACCTTGTCTGCCAGTGAACTAGCTGGTATTATGGAAACATGAGATGATTGTTGCCATTAAATTCGGATTTTAGAACAGCTGTGTGTTATGACTCTTGGGTATATGGCAGTGGTCCAAAAGCATCACCTCCTACGAGTAAGATGCCTGTTTCGCTATTATAATTTGCTGTTAAGTCTGTTGAGCACACCTGAAATGGGCAAGTGTTCTTTATGAACTACTAAAGAAAAAGAGGGTTCTCATGGTTCTAGGTATGTGACCGTACGTCAAGGTGGCATACATTTCCAGCTCACAGGATCAACATTTTGACCAGTGCCGCCTACCATTGCTTCAGGTACCAAATACTAAATTGGACCTGAAAAAATGACTGCCAGATTTGGGTAATACTTACCATAATAGTTCACACTCACTACATAGAGGCATATTTGGTAAAAAAATACTTTTTTTCACTGTCAATTAGTGAAATATTATAGATTTTTATCCGCAATATTCTAACATATATTTAAATGTTTGTATTATGTTACATATATGGATTATGATATAATTCATACATACAAATGCGGCTTGCTTATGCCCAGGATGCAATGCAGAAATAATCGCCGTAGCAGACCACTGCGGTGATTCTAACATAAAAGACAGATAATACCTGGCACCCATGGAAACCAAGGCACACAGAAACTATAATATTTCCAAAGTGAATTCTTTATGAGTTCATCCAAAAAGATAACATATAAAAGCAGATTTAATGGATGACAAGCATGATATTGCCTTCTTAAGTGTTTCCTCCCCACTAAGTGAACTTAATTATAGATAAGGCAGCTTCACACAAAGGACTTTTAACAGCAGATCAATTAACCAAACACCACCCAAATGGTAGGATCAACTATCAGTCCAGACAATTAACCCCTCTAACCACCAAAGTGGGAAGGGAGGAATAATCTAATATATTTCACTGCCAGACAAAACTGCTGATTGCTAAAAAAAAACAAAATAAAAATACAACAACAACAAAAAATATATATCATAAACAAGGTTAAGCCCAGCACTCTTTCTTGATAAACATACAAGAGAACAATGTCTAGATGCAAGATTTGTACATGACCGGTGTATAGTCGCCATATGGGCAGTCGGAACCTTGGACAAACCCCCCACATACCTATCCCAATAAAACACGGACTCTAGGGAATATGGGTCAAAATTGTCCACAGCTTTTATTAAATAGTAATAACTTAACATAGAAAAACAGGTCATTGCCCCAAACCCCACCATCACATCCTTCAGTTAGATATAAAAGGCAATGACCCCAATATAAATAACATATTTATAACATTTTTCCAACATGAACATAACTTAACCCCTTAAGGATGGCGGGCATGCTGTGCAGTCCTTGGGGACCCGGCTCTAAATGCCGTGGGGTGGCATAGCACGTCCCCGGCGTCCTATTTACTTACCCGGTCACCAGCGATCCCACGCTGGCGATCGCGGTGGGGGGACTCATCTGGCATCCCAGGGAGTCCCCCTGATGCCGATCCGGCCCTCCTGGGCCATGTGATTGCGAGGTCCTTGCAAGGACCTCACAATCACATGGACGGCATAGACATCCACATCAATGCCAGCATGGGGAGTGCCTGTAAAAAAATTAAATAAAAGATTAAAACAGTTTGAAATAACATTATATATACTTAGATCATATATATATATATATTATATATATATGATCTAAGTGTGTATATATATATATATATATTTATATATATACACATACATACACATAAATACACATACACTGTCTAAGTGTATTTTAATATGAATACTTAACAAATATTAGTGTTTCAAAACAGTAAAATGTATTACAACGATGATATTGTCAGTGAAAGTAAAATTTTTTGCATTTCTCACACACAAATGGCACTTACAGGGACAATATAATTTTTGTGATACGTTTTACTGTTTTGAAACACTAATATTTGTGTTCAGTGAAGTCTTCTGAGTATAACAGTACCCCTCATGTACAGGTTTTATGGTGTTTTCAAAAGTTACAGAGTCAAATATAAGGTTTGCGTTTCAGTTTTTTCACATTGAAATTCGCCAGATTGGGTACGTTGCCTTTGAGACCGAATGGTACCCCAGGAATGAAAATTACTCCCATGATGGCATACCATTTACAATAGAAGACAACCCAAGATATTGCAAATGGGGTATGTCCAGTCTTTTTTAATAGCCACTTGGTCACAAACACTGGCCAAAATTGGCGATCAAATTATTTTTTTGCATTTTTCACACACAAAACAAATATTAACACTAACTTTGGCCAGTGTTTGTGACCAACTGGCTACTAAAAAAGACTGGATATACCCCATTTGCAATACCTTGGGTTGTCTACTATTGGTATGCCATCATGGGGGTAATTCTCATTCCTGGGCTACCATACAGTCTCAAACAATCTGGCGAATTTCAATGTGAAAAAACTGAAAAAGGTACCATGCTATATTTGACCCTGTAACTTCCCAAAACACCATAACACCTATACACAGGGGGTACTGTTATACACGTAAAACATCGCTGAACACAGGGCCAGATTAACATAGGGGCTGATGGAGCATACATAGGAACGCTGAGACCTGGAGTAATCCATCTATACAGCAATCAAACTAAGTAGTTTTTTGGTGATTTTACAATATTTTCTCTTATGTCACTCCTTGTGATGTCACCCATACATATTTCATTATGCAAATTAGTAAGGCCGGTATGTTTTTCCAAGAAAGGTGGCCACCCTAACTACTTTTCACATTCTCTTACTTAAGTATGGAAACTTAAGAGGGATGTATGGGAACAAAACTTGTGTGGACTGGCCAGTGGCGTACTAAGTGGGGGGCGGGGGGGGCGGTCCGCCCTGGGTGCCAGCCGGGTGGGGGGTGCCATGGCCAGCCCCGCCCCCCCCCATGCTGCAGCCGCCCGAGCGCTCTGTAGTGAGCCTCAGGCGGCTGCAGCATTGCCCGGGCGGTGCTTCCATGAGGGCGGACCACACCGCCCGGGCGCAGCCTGAGAAAGGGGCTGACAGGAGGGAAGCGCTCAGCGATCCCT